TATGTAGAAACCTAGCGAAGGAGCGCAGAGGCTTGGGAACACCATAGGAAAGTGGTGGCGTGGAGGCGGCAGGCACCATCTTGTCTTTATTACCGTGGTTATAATACTACGCCAGAAAAACCACTAACGAAAAGCAAACTCAAACCACACTAACTAATGGTGTGCCCTGTTACAACATCAATACGAGGTCAACACGACAGATTCGTAGTAGGTGATCGTTACTATAGAAATCTGAGGAACGAAGAATCCCATAGAGCCCCGTGCTACGCTTGTACGCTCGACGGGCAGCTCAGGACGTACAATCCTTACTGCAATCTTGTTAAATAGTTCAGGTTGAAATGGTGTGTGTAGGGGAGAGGGGGCAGCACGCAAAAGCGCGAGGGAGTCGAGCCAGCACAGTAATAAAAGTGGTTGACATCACATTTCAATCCATAGCTACTCGTACTTGATTTTTTGAGTTCACATATAGAATCCGAGTACAATGCATATAGTTCTTAGGTCGAAAGTCCGTCTGCTAGTTTCGTGACACCACCGAGCTCTAGAGGCGTAACCATTCTCTAAGATCATAGTGCCTTCCTTCTCGTGTGCGCGCTAGGCTACTACAATCAGTCGCTTCTCTAACTCATTTTCGAAAAAACGCATGTTTTGAGCTCTCTTGACCTGAGTGACTGGACATCTCGGTCTTCGGACAAAGTAATATTTATTCTTTATCGGAATTGATACCTCTAACATATATTATATATGGTTTTCAAATCAGTTTTCAATTACCGAGGCTTATACGAATATCGATTTATAATTTTCCACACCTCTCCCCATAGGACTAACATGGACTTGCATGATGACTTTGGCACAAAAAAGTGGGACAATCATTTGCGAACAAAGCAACCTTTTTCCTACTTCACGAAATTACCTTTACGTCATCAGATAACACGAGCCCTCCCTCTTCATAGCGGCTGTAACCCTACCCATAGAAATAAATATTTGGCGTCTAATTTCTCCAGCCTTTCTACCTTTCTTTCCGGACTGTTTTTCTTCAAATATATAACTTGCCATCTAGCCACGTGGACTATATTTCCTTCCCTATCGCGCCTTGGGAGCTGCCCTCATATATTACCGTGCCTTCTTAGATACTTTTTTACGGTGGCAGATGGCTGCGGACACCAAGCTGTTGCGGCATACCATTTTACCACTGAAATGCTTTTGACCAGATATGCGCGTGAGCTTATACTCAACAAAAATGCCGAGTCATAGGCAAAAGTCTTGACCCCAGGCGCGACTCGAACCCGCACCTCACGTTCACCTATCGAGTGCACCATCCGCTGCAAGGTGCACCATTGCACTGTAGAGAATAGCAGCGCCAGTACCACTCTCCCACCACCTTGCCTCCCTACCAGAATATCGGTCCCGGTATAACCCCACTATGAGGGCAGCGAGCTCCTCTCAATTTCTGAGCCATCTATATATGCAAGCGAATGAATCATGGGGAAGACAGGCTTGCTTTTCCCGCTCGCAGGTTACCCTTTCAGAGGGTAATAATAATTAAAACAAGTCGGACGCTTACCACGCGCGGTTCGGGGTCAAATCCCGAATCGGCTCCCTCTGAGCCGAACCACCCTTCTACTCCCCTTCCTCGGGGACGTTAAACTGGTACCAGATTCCTCAGGGACAATAAGAGCACTGACTTGTATGTCGGCTGGCCATTGTATGGGCCACATCGCATTCAATAAGCCACTACGATTCCTAATGGAAGTAGAAAGTGTGCCTGCATCCCGAGAAGAGATTGATAAACGATGAAAAGCTTTTCCTTCCACTTCATACAAATCTTTACGTGACTGCGACCGGCCTCCATCACTGAACAGTGAGAAGCTGGCTGTGACTACTGATCACATTCAGAACAAAACTTCATCCGTTTGCCTATGATTTGGTAAACGTTAATAGTTCGAATATGAGGTTTGGGGAAGCGATTGCATACTCATCATTGCGAAATGGATGAACATGACTCTTCACAGCTTCAGCAGTTCATCTGTTAGCGATGGAGCGCGGTGGGTCGCGGTGCGTCGCGGCCGCGCGACTCTAGGGATTCATTCGCTCGAATCGCTCCAAGGAGCGAACAGATGGATTAGCAAAGTATAAACGTATGCTTATTCAAATAATACGTTTAGCGTCGAACAGATCCCATTTGAATAGGCATAATTATAAGCTTCAGCACTGTCCAAGGAACATATACAGATAACTAGGCGATAAAACACCTTGCTATGGTGAACCGGAGAAAATAATCGTAATCGAACATTTATTCCATAACAAATGCAACCTTTCGGACACAAACAGAAAAAAAAACATAGGCAACAATTTCTCACAAGTTCAACTGAGGCGAAACGATCCTAAAGACGGGCTGATTAAATTAACACACTATGTAAAAGAATAAACTGTAATGCCTAGCGCATCACACACAAACGAATCACAATGCAATGAAATCAACAAGGAGATGTGCGACGGGCAAGCAATGTGTAAACGAGCCGATGCAGCAACCTTATAAGAAACAATACATTGCTGATTGTAATGCTTGCTTCCTGAATTGTAAACAATTGGCGTACACTACCTATAGGCGGTGGTCAAATAATTACAAATTTGGGAATAATTTGGCGCGGACAATGATTCGGGCGACAGGTGGGGGGGGGGAGCATTATGCAATTTTGTACATCCCATCGACGTATCGAGCCATCTAGAGAGCTGCTTAATGAGCTTAAGAGTGGAAAGGTTTGACCATGGTGGTTCGATGAACTTGCTCCAGCTTTAAAGGGGTTCACAGGTTTCACCAGAGTGGGGCTTGTAGACCGGAACCGATGGAACAGCAAAAGTGCAATATGCCCCTCCCTTCCCCCCCTTGCCGAACTGGCAAAAACAGTTGGGAAACATTTCACGGTTTTAAACTCTCCTCCTCAGACACATCATCGCTCAAAAAAACACAGAGGTCATAAGAGGCTGGAAGGGCGTCGTACCTGACTCTGAGAAACTCCTTTTTTGATTGTAGATTTTCAGGCAGGGTAAGTCTATATCGTCGTAGTGAAGCATTCGTTCCGCAGTCGAAATCGCCAGCGGAACGAATGCTGGCTGATTTCGACTGCGCGTGTGGAAAATCGGTCTACGGCTGAATCTAACGAAGACGATGTTCATGAGAACTTCTGATGCCCCATTCACGCTCAACGGAACGACCATCTCTGAATGCTCTAGCTATGTGTACCTAGGTCGTGAAATCAATATGATGAATGACCTAGCTCCAGAGCTGAGCAGGAGGAAGCGAGCGGCTTGGGGAGCCTTCAAGAACATCGAGGGAGTAGCGAAGAAGACGAAGAACACCAAGCTCCGTGCCCACCTCTTCGATTCCGCGGTCCTTCCTGCCTTGACGTACGCCTCAGAGACTTGGACTCTACGAAAGCAGGATGAGCATGCGGTCGGTTATTCAACGCGCCATCGAAAGGGCGATGCTCGGAGTTTCCCGCTACACGCAAGTGAGAGAGGGAATCCGGAGCTCCGCACTCCGCCAACGATCGAAGATCAGAGACGCCGCCGCATTTGCCAAGGTTTCGAAGATCAGGTGGGCCGGACACGTCATGCGTTTCGAGGACGACCGCTGGACCAGAGCGATCACCGACTGGATTCCACGGGATGTCAAGCGAACGCCTGGACGACCGCCTATGCGATGGTCAGACTTCTTCGAAACTCTGGACGACCGCCTATGCGATGGTCAGACTTCTTCGTGAAAGCTCTGAACGAATGGTATGAAGTTCATCGTGTCCCTCGAGCAGAGTCATTGGGCAACTCTTGCACGTTGCAGGGACGAATGGAGACGTTACTGGCGCCCGCTCGAACTCGATGATCAACGGGAGCACAGGTGATACAGGTGATAGTCGCAGTCAGTCGGGGCGGAGTCAGGAGAGGCGAGATGATCCCGCTTCCGGCTGGTAGAAATATCATTAGCAATCAGTTGGTCTGTGGTTAAAATGCCGCGACTGAGCTCAACGAATAGCTCTTGGCTTCGGCCCATTTGACTGCGATGATATCAACAGTACAGCCCCTATTCGGCGCGTGACAAAATGACAATTTTCGTTGGCTGGTCGGAGGTACGCTTCAAATTCTGACGCCAAGTGGAAACGGGTGTAGAGGTTTCCGGTCAACTACATGAAATAAAGAGTTCCCATCGTCAACGGGGCTGGTTTAGTGCGCTTGAAACGGGACGGGAAAAATTAAGAACTCATTTTTTTCTTGAATTTAAATACAACCCCAAGTGTTTTACTGTCGTCTACCTTGGATTCTCGCCATTTTTACCTGTTTTGTTGATGCGCTTGCATGTCAGTGGGGGGAGAGGGTGTACAAGCACATGACTAATCGATACCATCCACGACAGGATGGTGTAGGCCCCACAGGCCCCGAAAGTAACAGCCCAGATCCTGATCGTGCTAACTCTGGCGTGGCGCGAGTCGTGGCACTAACAGTTAGGGAAGTTGGAAGGAAGGTATGCCCGCATGACACGAGAAAAGAGCAACAGAATGAGTATTTACGATGTGATTCAGACATATTCAAACTTTTGAACGAGGAGAACATAATTATTAAAACAAATAGGGCGCTGTTTGGTTTGGAGGAGACATTTTGCACTTCCGCTAATTCCCTTTGTTGGTTCGTCTTAACCTAAAGGTCTCTTGATCATACCTGTAACCTTTTGTGAAGCCGCAAAATTCATTGAGAGCCACTCTGATCACAAGGATTTACAGTTGTTCTCAATGAGACCTGTACAAACTTAGCTAAGCACCATTCAGTACCCCCACGAAACCAAAGTGTGCCACAAAAAAAATCTGATGTACGCTCACATTCTAACCATGAAAATGGCCCCGTTATCGCTGCAAGCCCTTATCAAGTTTCGCAGTTGTGAAATCAGTCTCATGACAGCCTATTCTGCCTTGGATCGCCAGGCACTTTCCTGGAGGGTTAACAGAAGAAACATTTCACGACAATATCTGCAACTTCCACTTGCGATTCGTATCCAGGCTAGGAGCAACCATTTCTGGTTCTGAAAACTGTTATGTTCAAAAAAGAAATTGCAGATAATATTTACAAAACATACCTAGCGTCACAACTTCGGGCATTCCTCCATCTGCAGGAAAAGTGAAAGCGTCATTTATGGTGTACTGTAAATAACACCATATTATTTACTCGGTCCATTAATATGCACCACATCAGCTAGCTGCTCCGACTTACCAGCGCATATATTGGCCCAGGAAGATCCCAAGGATGAAGTTTATTCGGCCATATATGGGAGCGACTAGCAATAAGATCGTTGCAAAAGTGGTCGGCTGCTCGCTGAGTCGAGCTTGCTAACGCTATTTCATCTGCCCGCACCAAAGCAGGCAACAGTTGCAGCAACTCGGCTGAAAAAAGACATACGTTCGCTCGTGTGTTCCGTGAAATAACTACTAACAGATTTTGAGGCACGCCCCGCCTTTGATATTCAGGCCCTTTTCTGGATATGATAGCCCTCCCTGCAAAGTGAAAGTTTTACTAATTCCCGTAGCTCAAAAGTACTTGAGGAAAGCGCGACCCGCTCGCGAAAAACCGCAGTCCCGCCCAAGCGAGCCCACTATTCATTCCTGAAATTCTTCCTGCTGGTGCATTTGTTCCGCTACCCGTTCTCTCCATTTCGAAGGTAATAAGGAGGAGGCACCGACAAGAGAGAACTCGTCCGACCACACCCTTTTTCGCCTTGTGCACGTATAAACGCGGTCCGGCATAAGGCATTTCCGGCGGATTTTTTGCTTTTTTCTTCACCGCTAAATCACCTATTACCTAGTCATTAAAATATGAGCCGCACAAGTCCTCATTTTTGAACTCAGGGCGTGCCTTTGATCACAAAATATTGGGGAACAACACTCAAATCATAGGTTAACGTTAGCGGGGCGGAGATTATATGCAAAGAAAAGCTGTCATAGAACAAAGCAATCAGCAGAACACACGCAATATAGCGCGGTGACTGGACGCGCCTCTTTAAATCGTTGAATCGCCTTCTGCTCATACCAGTCATGCCTTACATTCCTTCGAACAATCACTACAACATTAGTCCCTCTGACAACTTATTACGGTAGCACGGATACGCATTCCAGGAGTCAATGGAGTATCGGAGGTGTAAATTACAGAGCAGAGTCCACAGGCTGACCTATGGGCGGAGACACTCAATAACTGTGCACTTCCAATTGGCGTCCTCTTTCTCTGTATCATCTTCGGAGGGGCGCACCGATGAGGAGCACATGATGGATGGCTATCTCCTCCTACATCATCAGCGTGGACTGATACTATAAAATCTGTGGTACTGCTGTGTCCTTGTCAACAGTACCCGAGATTTTATCCTCTTCCTTGAAAATAACCAACTTTCTTGGTAACAAAAAGATCAAAGCACATGCAAAAGGAAATCACCCGTGATATCATCCAACCATTTGTAGTGGGCAGCCAGGAGCTATCAGAAGAGCCGAATCTTCATATTCGCCACCTTCCTTCAACGACTGCTTCTTTCGGTCAATCTGAAAATTTTGAACAGTACTTACAAAGCGCTCTGACCGAAATACTCAAAACACGACGACATCCCTTCAATTTAAGCAGCGGTTCTTATTCGCATCACTTGTTATCCTACCTGGTTAAGTGGTTTACCAGGAATAAAGATGCAGCGAGAGATGCGTTTGAGCTGGATCACTTCGACTCGGAGGTTCATTAGCAAAACTCTACCGTTTAAACTTACGAGTACCCTCTACAAAATCGCAAAAAAAGATTTTGCTTTGGGCTTTGAGGAACAATGTCAGTATTACATCGGGTACACGCGAAGAGATGCATTTACACTGCTCGCGGAATCGGATCCCATCGCACCATCACGTCTTTCGGGAGCCTCTTTCTCAAACAGGATTCATGTATCAGTTAGTTGTGTATCAGTTGACGGGAAATGTAGGTCAAAATACAGTGGAGAGACATCAAGTGGTCCCGACAAATTCCTTTTCAAATTACGAATTGATCACCTGAGGGGACGTCGAACGCAGGCGCACCCTACGGGCTCCAGAGACAGATTGTAAAAATCACCTCCGAGAATGGTCCCTTCAATGTGGAAGGCGAAGCTGTAGTAGCGCGCCACTTTGTTCGCTCAAAAGTGCACGGGAACGGGGCTGTAGGGTAGTGGTACGTGAGTGCCGTTCCTATACTCCGCCCGCGCTATTTTCAAGGTGCAGTACTTGCCTTGATACCAAGGTTCCGCAACGAAACACGTACCCGGCGATAGAGAACAACCGAAAAATAGAGAGCGCAGAGAAGTAGAGCGTTTGGCTACGGTGATGCGCGCGGCTGCACGGGCGGAGTATGAAATCCGCACTCAGGTATCACTATCCTCCGGCCCGCTCCCCTACACATTCGAGCGGGAGAACGTGACACGCTAGTGCAACAGCGAATCCATTCTCCCCACACACGGCAAGGACCAGAATCCACTGAGGTGGATGTACAGTTTGTCTTCAAATCTCATAGTCATGCCCCTTAGGCACCTCACCTGCTTCCTCTTGCGAACAGTTGCGGTCGTACTCGCTCGACTCACACCTGTCTTCCCAGTTCTTCTGCTAGCTATGCTGTACGTGCTTCCTGCTTCCGAAAACAAATCTGCCGCCTAAACTTTCACAGTACCAGACAATGCGATCTTCATTCTCATGAGTTACCTCCAGATCTCCACCAGTCTCGATACCGTCCCTCACATTATTGATGCGCTCTTTTTTGATGCCACGGACAACTTCAAGCCTTTTTGCGTGACTGAAAATGAGAATGACGTAAGGAGAGCCGTTCTACCTATTCAATAATGGGCGTAGTTTGGCTGGTGAGGGACCGAACGACACTTGTACAGGCCACCTTGTGAGAACAGTAAATTACTGTGACCAAACTCGAAGAATTTCCTAGCTTTACAAGAACTGACAGGACTGATCAAACGGGACTTGTCATAACCAGCAAAAAGAACTAGAAGGAGTGAAA